CAAGAGGATTTTTTTCTTACTCTTAATTGCTCTGTAATGAACATGGATGATAGCAATAGCTATGTCTCATTTCCTCTGCACCCTAATATTGGTCAGCAATAAGTCCATCAGTCAGTCACATTAGTACTTGCAAATGGATGCTGGGCTGAGTATATACATTATCTCTGAGTATGCATTATCTCTGTCCCTACTTTTACAGAAAACAGGCTCAGAGAGGTGGTATAGTTGATCCGACTTAAATCCTTTTAATGTGTTGCCTCTCTTGGGTAACAAACACCAGTAAAGCAACTAGAAGCCCTGGTTTCAAAGTCAGAGTCTGGTGTCTCATCCGTGTGGCCATTTAATAGCTGTGGAGCAGGAGTTTCTTAATTTCTGTGAGTCTTGGTTTCTCTTATCTGAAAATTGGGTGTGTTAATAGTACCTGCCTCCCAGGTTAATGTGAGTGAGGATCCAGTGAGATATTGCATGTGCAAAGCTTAGAACACTGCTTGGCAAATCATGCTCAGTTAATGTTAGCAGCTGCTAGTATCATCATTATTATTACTATTACTATTATTATCCCACTGTAATAGCACTGTATTACATATAGTTCTTTAATTTGGAGAGGAATAAGGGCAAAGACTTTTTCCTAGGATATATTAAACCATGCTGGTTCTGAGTTCCACAGGAGTGGAGATACCGCCCTAATGATCTTGGTATTGTCAGCACCTAGCAGAGTGGATGCTAATTTGGACAAATGAGTATGTAGATGAAAAGGTGGATGGGCAGAGACAAATAGTCAGGTGGGAGGTAAATAAATGAGTGTATTACTGATGGGTGGATGTGGGGAGAGAGGACCTGAAGTGACTCAGTATGTCAACTGGCTGGATGGGAAAGCAGGTCGTTGATTGGAGGAGCAGAAAAGTAGATGAATGATGGTATGGGTGAGTGGATGGTTGGATGGATGGATGGGAGGAAGAGAGGGTCGTAAGTGACTTAGCTGTGAGTAAATGCTTGGATGGATGGGAAGGCTGGTGGTTACAAGGAGGAGCACACCGCTGGATGCACGATGTGGTGCGATGGGTGGATGGATGGATGGATGGATGGTTGGATGGATGGATGGTTGGATGGATGGATGGGTGGATGGATGGATGGTTGGATGGTTGGATGGATGGGTGGATGGATGGGTGGATGGATGGATTGTTGGATGGATGGATGGGAAGAAGGGTCTTAAATGACTTAGGGTGTGAACGAATGCCTGGATGGATGGGCTGCTAGTTGGGCAGGTGACTGGATGGACTGATAACAGACAGAGGCACGGATGGCTGCCTCCTGTTTTGTTTTGTTTTGTTTTCCCTCTTCACCGCAGCCCACCTTTCCCCAGTTCCAAGACCCCAGAGACACACAGACCGATCGCGCCAGGGCGCCCCCCCCCCCCCCAGGGGTGAGCGACCCCGGAAAGCTCCCGGGCAACCAGGCAGCTCTGAAGGCCTGGGGAGTCTGGCGGCGGCGCTGGGACCAAGGGGCGCGGGGTCGGCGTCGCCACCCCTGCACCGGCCTAGCTCTCCGTGAGCGCTGGGCTCTTCTGCATTGACGTCGCCGGCGGCAGGGCCCCAGGCTCTCGGGAGCCGCGGTGTGACGCTGCACATCCAACGCGGCTGCTAAAAAAAGGGCGGTGACTCACTGCCGGCCGCGGAAACTTCCAGGAGCGGGGGCTGCGCAGGGCGGGGGTGGCGGCCAGTGGCGGCGGCGCCCGGGGCGCCGGGCAGCGGCCAGGTGTATCTCGAAAGCAAAACGGCCAGACCGTGAGCACGGGGTTGGAGAGGAGGGGAGTCCAGGAGTTCCCCAGGGCCGCGCCAGCTCCCAAGGCTCCGCCCTACCGCCAGGCCCGGGTGCCACCGCTCAGAGTCAGAGCCAGCCCTAGTCAGGATAAAGAGCTCTGGTGGCAGGTAGCAAAATGGCAGGTGGCTCACACTGGGTGCTCTGCTCTATGTCCTAACTCGCTATGGATCTTAACTCACTTAACTCTCAAAATCCCGCTTTGCAGATCTAAGGCTGGAGAGGGAAAGGGACTTGCTAGAGGTGATACAGCTGGTATGGCCAAGTGTCTCAATATATGAAATACAATTGTAATTTGACAATGTAGAACCCCTGCTCCGTGCCCAGGCCTGTGCTGGTGACACAGAGAGGGATGAGAATGATCCCTGCTGGCATGGAAAGGGCTCCAGAAGTATTTACTGGGGAGACCTCAGTTCCATCCCCTCCCCCCCGCCGCCAAACATCTCTCAGTCCTACTCTGGGCAGAGAATAGTGGCAAGGGGGCAGAGTGAAGGTTACAAAGGTGACTTGAGGCAGATTTAATGCATTCATCCACCAGGTAGTTATTAAGCACCTACTAAGTACTGGGTAAGCAAAGTAAACCTGACTGGTCTGTGTGCCTTCATGGAGCATGTGCTCTGTAGGGAAAATGGGGAAAGGAGGAGTGAGAAGTGCTCAAGGGACACAGTATGGAGAGGGAGCAGCCACCTAACCCAGGCAATCACGGAAGGCTTCCTGATGGAAGCAGCCTTGGTACCAAGGTGGGAGGATAATTAGAAATTGGGCATATGGAGAGGGGGAGGGAAGAGCATTGCAATATGAGAACAGCTCATGCCTAAGCCCGGAAGTGTGAGATTATGGTAGGTTTGAAGGACTGAAGAACATTATGTACACCTGCAACAGTGAGGGCAAAGGAGGAATGAAGAACGGTGGGGAACAGGTGAGGAACAGGACGTGAGAGCCAGGTCTGGAAGGGGAACAAGTTAAGGACTCGGGGCTTAGCCAGAGGGCAGACTAGCTAACACCTCAGCACACCACGAGGAACAGAGTGAAATCGGTTCTGTTTGTACCAGAGGACAGGATGGACGCCATGCAGGTGAGAAGGGAATACCAAGGAAGGCTTCATGGTGGAGGAGGTGGTTAAGCTGGGCATGGTTGATAGATTTTCTGCTCAAAGGAAAAGGAAAGAGAGAGAAAGAGGAACAGTCTGGGAAGTGCCATGCATGGCACAGAACCTCATCCAGGCTCTGTTATAGACCCTCTTGAAAGGTGAGGGAGATGCCCGTGAGACTAAGGCTAATGCAGCATCATTTCTAGGGCCTGGGGTGGGATGAAGTGGCCCTCTTTGAGCCCCACGGGAACAGAAGACACAGCCCTGGTCCTTAACAGGCTGCCATTCATTGGTGTCAGCAACTGGAAAACAGAATTGTTTAATTCTTGAATGATATGCACGAAGCAACAGTATGTCAGGTTCTGTGATGGGCACTAGAAATCCACTGGAGAACAAAAGCAGACATGATGCTCACTCTCATGAAGACTAATTCTGGGAGGGAAAATACTAATTTTTTAAAAAGACCCAAAGAAATAAATAAAAAAGACCCAGGCATAGGTACGTGGCACTATGAGAAGGCAGCAGAGGATTGCTCTACTCTGGACAGCCTGAGCAGGAATCATTAACAATGTGACAAGTGAGCCTGGCTGTGAAAGATGAGAAGTAGATAACAAGGTAGAGATGGGAGGCAAGATTGATCCAGGTAGAGGGACCAGTGCATGCAAACCCTGCTCTGGGGGAAAGTCAGGTGACTGACATGGAGAATGAGGGGAAGCTTGGTTCAAAATAAAGCTGATCAGCAGTTTTTTAGACCACCATACCAACTGGGGATTGTATCCTAGAAACAACGGAAGGTGTTGAAGTATCTAGAATGGGCAAAATTGGGAGCAGAACACTCCAGGTGCTCTGGGTACACAGAGAACCAGGGAAGAAACAGACTCTTCATCTACTGACATTGCTCTTTACTCACCTCACCTCATTTAACTGTGACCATAACTCTGCAAGGTTCTCATCTCCATTATCATAAGGAGACACCTGAGGCTCAGAGAAGGTAAGTAGTTTGCCCATGTCCACAGCTTGTTCAGTGGGCCAAATGAAAGCCTCCATAATCCTATATTCTTTCTAATGTGGATGAGATTAGAAGGTAGGGCCGGAAGTTAGTCCAGAGTAGGATTTGGATAGCCAGAAAGGAGGTAAAGAGACTTTTACCAGGGGGCAAGAAGTCACGAGCAATGTACACATGAGACTAAAAATGGCCTAAGAAGTAACGTAGGAACTGCTCTACACAGAATATAATGCAGAAAATGCAAGGGGGGCGGGGAGAGATCGGAAGGAAATATACAAAAAGATTGCTCTCTCTGAGGATTGTGGGTAATTTTTATTTTTAAATTTTTGCTTAACTATGTTTTCTAAATTTTCCATAAGGAGTAGCTGTGTTTTGTGTGTGTGTGTGTGTGTGTGTGTGTGTGTGTGTGTGTGTATAAATAGAGTAGCAGTTATATTTTAGGGGGATCAGGTAAGCTTTTTTCAGTTCTTGTAGGCAATATTTACATCATATTAATTTTTTCATCCCCCTTGGAACTGTGAATTCACCTGCAGATGCCTTCACAAGCCATAGTACCCACACCCTCACCCTACATGTAGTCAGAGCCAACAAATTCCTTGGCAAGTTTTAATTAAGCTCTTTCAGTGTGTCCACCCCGCATAGGCTTGATGGGGGAATAGATACAAGAGCAGTATAAACCAGGGCCCCTTGCCAGAGCAAATATTTTGATACTGAATGATTTGGCTGCATCTAAGCAGGCAAGACCTGAGAACACTCACTCGCAAGGCTGCCTCTGCTAACCAAATGGCACAGCATACTATGATGTTATAATATTAGGTTCTTAATCATGGAAACACTGGCGTCTGTTTCAGCGGAAGCTTCCTCCCAGATGGTGCATCCTACTGTTTTTGTCGTCTGGAACAGTGTGAGGTTTCTTAAATGGCTGTACGCTTCCAAATCATCTTCCACACAATGGCAGCCTGTTAATTAAGTGGTCCCTTTGTGATTGCATTTGATAAATATGAGATGAGAAGGGTTTATCGAGCTGTGAAGAAAAAAGCAAGGCACAGCAACAGGAAGAAGCTCCGGCAGGTGGAAAGGCCTTTGTGTGGGCGTCGTCCAGGGAGCTTCAAGGGAATTGGGGACAGCTTTGCAGGCACAGAAAGGAGAAGGCTGGGATTCACTCAGACCACACGCTGCGACGTCTGCCTAGTGGATGGCCAGCCAGATGCACATGGTGTGTGAGGCACTTTGTGGCAGAGGCGGGCAGGGAGGTGGAAGCCTTCCAGTTCTTTCTGAGTTGACTGATGTGAGGTTGTCAGTCACACTGCCAGGCGCTGTTTTGACTCCACTCATCAAGATTTGCACTGTGCAGCTCCAAAAAAGGTATCTGCTTTGAAAGTAGTGTTCTGCATTCTTGGAGCAGATGACTGGTGACAACATCCAATTAAATATAAACGCTTGGCCGGGGGACTTGACTTGGAGGGTTGGTGAAGTTTCAGGTCTAACTTGTTAAACTTGGCCTTCCTCAAATACTGGACAACTTTCTCCAAAAACAGCACGTCAGGGAATGAAACCTAATTATAAGTGGCATCTTCAATTGGACACAGGTCTCCATCAGCCACCTTCCTGCCTCGGGAAAGGCATACATCAACCCCAGGCTAGAGAAAGGATCTGTGATACCTGATGACTTCTTTGTCTTTCCCACTGGTTCAATCCTATTTCAGCCATTCATGAGATGAATATCTACGAGGCATTTACAGGGAGGAAGGCACATATCTGCGGAGGTGACGACTGGGCTGATGTGATTCTGTGAACCACTTGAGGGCAGAGGCTTTGGCTTTATCTTCATACTTCCGACACCTAGCAGAGTGCCTGCTGTCCGGTAGGTGCTCAGTAAAGGTTTGCTGAATGACTGCGTGAATGGATACTATTTGCCACACTCTCCTGTACTTAATACTGTTCTAGATCTTTTTTAATTCCCTCCTCCTGCTGTCAGTCATGCTTATTTTTCTGACTCTGGTGGCTGTCGAGAACAACTGCGTCTCAACTTTTGCTCTGTAGTGCTTCATGTACTCGGAAATTGTTAATAACTCACCTCTCAACCTTCACTCCTCCAGCTCCCTCTGCTCTTCCTGTGGCATCAGTATCTGCTCCTGGTCACCTATAATAAGAAAAGTAATTTGTTTTGGTGTCTAATAGTCCTTTACAGCTTGCAAAGCTTTTCACTTGTTAAAGTATGGTTTCAAGGGCTGTGGAAGAGCCACTAATAAGCCTCAACATCACACAGTCTGCACACCCCCCAAATACCACCCCTCACCCCACTCCTCCTCCCACCTTAAAGCCCAGCATCAGCAGCTTTACCTTGCATTCCACCATCAAAATAGGATTTGGACAGCACCTCCCTAAAACAGGGATCACATTGACATTCACATTTGTTTACACTATAGTGTCAATTATACCACATCCCGGGCTGAAGGTGGGTTTACAGTCCAGAGGAAAACTGGAAAACCACAGGAAAGCCCAGAAACTTTGCCCCCGGGCCAGACCTGCACAGCAACACATCTCTAACCATAGCTGAGAGGTTCAGCAGTTACTGACATATTATTATTGTTATTGTTACTTACTATGATTACAAAGACTACTAGTATTACCATTAGCATGTTTCTAGCATCTAAACACTAGGCCAGCAGATTTCAGCTTCCTTCTTGAAACATAAGCTAGGCTCTTGATTATTATTTCACAGCTATTCATGAACTAGGCTGACCCTTTCATTTTAATTTATTTTAAGTATCAACAGATATTCTCTTAAAATATTCTCAGGCTGTATCAAAGGTAGAGGGTTTTTTAATTTTATTTATTTATTTACTTATTTATTTTTGAGAGAGAGAGAGAGAGAGTGAGCAGGAGAGGAGCAGAGAGAGGTGGACAGAGGATCCAAAGAGGGCTCTGTGCGGACAGCACAGAGCCCCATGTGGGGCTCAAACCCACGAACCGTGAGATCATGACCTGAGCCAAAGGCAGATACTTAACCGACTGAGCTAGCCAGGCTCCCCAAAGGCAAAGGTTTTGATGGCTGGTAAATTCGGTGGCTGCCCAATGGAGACACTTTTGCTTCCTGTCTTTTAACCATTTTCTTCTCCTTCCCAGGCATGGGAGAGCCTTGGTTTGGCAACTGACTTCCAGGGGACGTTGTGAAAGCTGGTTGACTCTTGGTCACGTGTTGCAGTGATGAGCCGGTAGCATCCTTGACTCTGAGCACCTCCCTCCCCCTACTGGGAGGTTACCCCACTTGTTCTTCACCATCATGGCCACCACTGGACCCTAGTGTCTCATTTCACACTACAGGCTCCCCCTGTAAAATAAAATTGATAAGAGGCTTTCTCACTGGTCAGATGCTCCTGCCTCCCATCCATTACTCAGTCTACTCGCCTGGCTTCTGATCTCCTACCTTCTGAATTTTGTGTACTTCTTGCCTCCTTGCCTGTGGTCTGTTGGCATCTCTCCAGGTGCTTCTGTGGTACATGCTGCCCTTTTGCCCGATTACCCCTTGCTTCCTTCCTGGTCTCCACAAGCCATGATGATCATGGCCCCCACAGAACAAATAGCAAAAATACAAAGCCATCACTTCCCTGACATCCCTTGAGAAGACAGAGTGGAGAAGTCTGGCTGTAGATTGCTGGATAAGAAATGGGTCACAACCTGCCCCCTAATAGGGCCTTGCTCATCCTAGTTATTCCAGTTCATGCCTAAGCACTTCCTACTCTCTGACACTTGTTTTTGTTCTGACTGGCCTTGCTGGTAAGATGGAAGACATTGAATGGCAAATAGCAAACCCGTAAGAGAACTGGAGTGCTCAGCTTCACCCCTCAGACTCGCTCCCAAGAAGGTATCATCTCCTCCAGAAGCATGAAAGAGAAGGTTACTGTTGTTATTTCAGTAGACTTGGCTTTTTAGAGCAGTTTTAAGTTCACAGCAAAATTGAGTAAGGTGCAAAAAGTTCCCATAGACCCCACACATGCACAATCATCCTTACCATCAACATCTCCCACCAGAGCAGTACGTTTGTTATCACCCATGAACCTACATGGACACATCATTATCACCAAAGTCTATAGTTTACCTTCTTGGTACTGTACATTCTATGGGGTTTGACACATACACTGATATGCCTCCACCATTGCACTACTGTGCAGAATAGTTTCAGTGCCCAAAAATTTCTTTGTGTTCTGCCTGTTTATCCCTCCCGCCCCCCAACCCCTAGAACACACCGACCTTTTCATGGTCTCCATAGTTTTGCCTTTTTCAAAATCTCGTATAACTGGAATCATACAGTATGTAGCATTTTCAGATTGGCTTCTCTCACTTAGTAATATGCGTTTAAGGCTCTCTGTGTCTTTCCATGATGGGTAGCTCACTTCTTTCTAGCACTGAATATTGTTCCGTCATCTGGCTATAACACAGTTTATAGATTCATTCACCTACTGAAAGACATCTCGGTTGTTGCCAAGTTTGGCAGTTATAAATAAAGTTGCTATAAATATCCATGGGGAATGTTGTTTTTAATTATATATATATATTTTTTTTTATCAAGGATGACTTCTTGATGAACAGGGAGATATCACGTTACAACAAATATATGTGGCTCAGTATGTAGAATACATAGCCAACCCAAGACTTCCCAAACAGCTGGCATCAAATTCTCTCTAGAAAATCACTTAAAGAGCTTTTAAAAGACATAGATTTTTGAACCCCACTCCCAAAGACCAGTCCAGTAGGCCAGGAAAATCACCAGGTTTAAGGAACCCAGGCTTTAACCTCCAAAAGGAAGGAAGCAATGGAAAGTTAAAGTCTTGTTTGTACCGGGAAGATCATGCACAATGAGGAGGTTGGAGTCTAGCATCCAAAACTCATTTGATGGAGACATTTTGTTCTTCTCTAAGCCTCTTGGGGAAATGACTTGGTGACTAAAAGAATTGTTGATATGTGCTATCCTCTCCCATTAAAAGGAGCTAAAAAAGCCCTGGGCACCAAGATGTGAACTATTTCCTTCAGGGTAGAATAGAGTCACTAAAAATAGCCTTGGAAAATAAGGAGTTGTAGAGGTTCAACAAGGAAAACAAATCAGAAATAAATTTGGCACCAAGAAAGAAAGGAGGAGAAAGAGACAAACTCTCACAGGCAGTAGGGAGAAAGCGGCTATTAGCTTGGGTACATAAAAGCAGGTACATTTTTCCCACCCACAGAGCTGCTGGCTGGCATTCCTGCAGTGTAAATCAGTCCCTCCGGAGCAAAGGAAGATGAGTCAGAGAGTCAGCCAGGATAGGCTAGGTTATGCCAGGGTAACAAACAACCCCCCAAATCTCAGAGGCTTAACCACACAAAGGTTGTTTCTCACTTGCATTATCTGTCCAGTGTGTGTTTAGTGGGGGCTCTGCTCCTTGAAATCGCTGAGGGCTCCAGGCTGACAGACGCTTCATCACCAGTTATGGTTCCAGGACCACTATGCTAGGGATCAGGGGTGCTGCTCTGTCTGGCACTGAGAAGTAAATGGATCGGCCGGAGATGATGCAAGCACTTTCACTCACTCCCCACTGGCCAATGCAAGGCATATGACCTGCCTGTGTTCCAGTGAAAAAAGGCAGTGAAATTATACTCTGTGTCTAGGAGGTGGAGAATGAGAACAGGTGTAACAGCTCTGCTGGCTGTTATATCCGATAGAGGAGCTGAGGGTGAGAGATGGTGGAGGAAAAAGGCTCCTTTGCAACCACCAGTTTTCGGTTGGGATTCATCTCTCTCCTTACCATTCAACAGGAGCAGGCCCATCCAATGCCCCTCAGGTTTTGTTTCCTGCCTGCAAGGAAAAAGACAGCTTGGTGATGAACTGAACCCTGGAGTCATGCCAACCCCCCCCCCCCCCGCAATGTCTGGAACCTACCAGTTGTGTGACCTTAGGCAAGTTATTTAATCTCTCGGGCCCTCACTTTTCTTAGCTGTCTAAAATGGATGACAACAGTGCCTACCTCACAGAGTTGTTGTGGGGCTTAAATGAGATTAGTCAAGAAAAGAGCTCCAGGCCACAGCTGCTCAAACTGGGCTGTGCCAGTAAACCGCTCAAGGAGCTTGTTACATGCATTTCTGATTCAGAGGTCTGGGGTGAGACCTGAGATCCTACCCTTCTTTTCTTTCTTTTCTTTCTTCCTAAAGAGGAAAAAAGAGAGAGGCACCTGGGTGGCTCAGTCGGCTGAGCGTCCGGCTTCGGCTCAGGTCATGATCTTACGGTTTGTGAGTTCGAGCCCCGTGTCAGGCTCTGTGCTGACAGCTCAGAGCCTGGAGCCTGATTCGGATTCTGTGTCTCCCTCTCTCTGCCCCTCCGCCACTCGTGCCATGTCTCTCTCTTTCTCTCAAAAATAAATAAATAAATAAATAAATAAATAAATAAATAAATAAAGTTTTAAAAATGGAAATGTGCCACTCTAACTGTGCCCAGCCTCCACACGAAGCTTCTCATCACACGGGAGGATCTGAAACAGCATAAGTGGGCAATTCCTTGAAAAAAAAAAAAAAAAGAGAGAGAGAGAGAGGAGGAGGGGCAGAGAGAGAAGAAAAGAGATAATCTTAGGTAGTCTCTGTGAGCAGCACAGAGCCCAACCTCACGACCCTGAGATCATGACCTAAGCCAAAATCAAGAGTGGGATGCTCAACCGACCGAGCCACCAAGGTACCCCTGAAATCCTGTATTTCTTATAAGCTCCCAGGTGATGCCGACGTTGCTGGTTCATGGGCCAATATTAAGTAGAGCACACAGTGCCCATCTGTGGCAGACTATACGTATTCTTAAAACTGAATTGAGAGATTCCAAAGGTTCTCCTGCCCTTGCCCTCAATGAATAAAAACTACAGCTGCTGGTTAATGCAAATAATGTGTCTGATGCTTCGAGGGACAGATGTACTATGGAAGTCTTGTGGCTGATAGAGCAGGTGCTAGAATCAGGAGGCCTGGGTTTGTATCCAAGCTCTGCCATTCAGCAGCTCTGTAGTTTGGACAACTCATGGAAACTATCTGAACTTCTATATCTACACCTATAAATGAACATAATAATACAGACCCACCATCCCTCATCTGCAATTCTACAATCCAAAGAGCTCTGAAAAACACAAGTTTCTTCACCAAGTTTGGCATACATTGATATGGCAGCAAAAACTGATCTATATTGACATGAGGCTATTTATAGCCTTTATGTTATCCCTCTTTTATGGCTGTTTCTCCATTTCATCACAGAAATATGAATGTGTTTGGTAACAAGATGCTGCCACAGACCCTGCTGAGGATGTTGGATAACATAGAGCAGGTGAACCATGTTACCTTTCTAACAACTAAAATATTCTGAATTCTGAAACACACCTGGCTTCAAGGGTTTTAGAGGAGAAGCTATGGACCTGAAGTCCCTCTTTCTCCAGTAGTTGAAGGGAATAAGGAAAACAATGCATGTGAAACACCTAACACCATACCTAACACACAGTCATTGTCAGTGCTCAACAAAGAGGAGCTACTACTGAAATTATTGCTCCCAGTTCTTCCTGTGAACAGAGGGGAAGGGAATGTGGGAGGCAGTGCCTGTGCACCCCCTAGAGATAGACAGCACAATACTAAGTTTGTCCCTATGTTGTCAACCCCTTGATCTGTCTTCTGCTTTCTCCTAAAAAAGAAAAAAAAAAAGTGCCTGGAATTGAATATATACAGTGAGAGTGTAGACAGGGAGAGTGAACAAAAGCAAGACTCAGGCCAGTGGAAAGGGTTCTCCCCTGTGCCTACAAAAGCAGCCCAGCAGGAACTCAGAGAGCAGCCAGGGACATCTGCTTTCCTTGAGGCCTCTTTGAATATACAGTTGAAGAGTCTCACTTGAGCGAAGCACTCAGAGGAAGGGAGGAAATGGGATCTCCAGTCCTTACCCTTGGGGGAACTCCAGGATTCCCAGGGCTTGGCTTTCTTATGTAAAAATTGGGCGGTCTAGCAGTCCTTGCTCTGACTGCCTGATTGTAGGGGACACATTAAAAACATCACAAATGTGAATGCACTTTGAAAGGGAAAATCTGTGTTTCAGGTAGACTATAATTATTCATTTGACTACACGCAGGAGATCGGTAAGAGGACTGACATCACACAGGGAACCCTGGTTAGCTCGTTCTTTAATCAAACTTCTGTTGTCAACTCTGACGGCGTTGTCCCTTGCACTTGGCTCCTTCACCTTTGCCAGAGCCATTTGTGCTTGTCAATTAAGGCCAGCGTGATTCAGCTTTCACGAGATGCAAATTAACTGAGCTGCTCTAGCCCCACCATCACATACAGACTACTGAAATCAAGGCTTTCGGATAACAGATACAAACAGGACACAGATTTGAGAATTTCTCCTTCCCACTTCTTTCTTTCGCTAGGTCTGCAGACTTTTGGGCTAATGGCTTTCTTGCTGTCTTCATGTCCCAGGTTGAGAGCACTGGCTTTGGGTTCAGATCAGAGTGAGAACCAATCCAGACTCTCCTGCTGCTTCGCTGTCGTTTGACATGTCACTGAACTCCTTGGGTCTCAGTGTGTTCTTCTTTAAAATGGGGATAATTAGAGCTACAGGGTTGTTGTCAAGTTTAGGTATATAAATAGAATGTTAAATTTAAATTCCTATTGTCTCTAAAATTCAGTTAACGCTCTCACACTCAGTACCATAAAAGGTAAGTGCCCCTATATGCTAAACAGAGGTGCTAGTTCTCTGGGGAAGACTTAATAACATATAGGGTAGCAGGACCCGTACAGCAAGAATAACTGATTGACAAGCAATGAAAGAGAAGACTGGAGGTTCAAAGGTGTGGGAATTGTCTAGAAAGGTTTCTTGTTGCATGTCCCCTCCTGAGCTCAGGGATAAGCACAGAGAAGTGTCCCTTCACAAGACAAATGTGTTGAAGGAGGGGTGAGTGTAGTCAAAAGAAACAGTCACAGAGACTGGGAATGCCCGGAAGAAGTGAAGGCAAGCATCTCACACCTGGCCAGGTCTTCACAAAAGTGCAGAATGGCAGGACCAGTGCTATCCTGGGACTAAGGCCAAGAGCAGTGAGAGGGCTGCTGGGATAGGATGGCATGCCTTTGGTGGCATCCATGACTACAGAGGTTGGTCATTACAAAAGACTAGAGGGGGGTGGATTCACATGCCACAGTAGAGCCGGGATATAGGACCTGGTAGGGAAAAGCCAGCCCACCCATCTGGCAAGGCAAGAACACAGGAGGTTTTCCAGGGGCCATGGGGATGCTGCAGAAGCCAGAGGGGCCTAAGCCCTCATGGTGGGCCCCCAGTAGAAAGATGCTATTGAGCAGACAACAGGGCAAGAGCTAAGAATGTTACAAGAGGTCTGCTTCAGTGTTCAGTCTGGACCTCTGAGAATTTGCAAGTATATGCATAAGAGCCACCAAATGCACATCTGCCAAACAGAGCACGGATGGCCAATTCAGTCCCATAAGAGGGTCCCTTTTTCCTTAATCCCCCAGCCCCATCTCTGAAG